TAAATATTTAATACTTTAAAACATATTTTATTTTATAGAATAATTAAATTAATTTAAAATTATTATTATTATTATTATTTAATAGTTTTAATCGTATGGGATATTAAATTGAATGTACGAAATTTAACATTCATATCTAATTGGATTAAATAAAATTGAATTTAGTTTGAATTGTTAAAAAGATTAACTAATTTATTTAGGTTGATTAAATTAAATTGAATCATCAAATTATTTAATTTAACAAATATTCTTATTATGTTGGATGATACTATCCCTGTCTCTTGACTAATTTTAGAAAAAAGAAAGACAAAGATTGATCTAAAATCAACCAAATTATGCCTCCTAGAAAATACAGTGATTATTAATGGTTGATTTTATGATTTAACTAATATCATTTTATAATGTTTTTATTGTTTCAGTTTTTTGAATGTATATTTTATTGTCATACATTTTATTTTTTATATTTTATTAAATTATTAAATATCTAATAAAATATTAACCTGTCATGGAAAAAAATATATAAAATGAAACAAGTTAAAACAATTATAAAAAAATGGTAATAATATGACATTATTTAAGTTTTTTATCCTAATTTTCATATACATTAATGAGTTTATACTTATTTAAAAATTTGTTAAAGCGTATAAAATAAACATAATACTAAAATTTACAGAAAATAATACATGATAAAATTTATTAAATAATAATAAATGAACAGTAAAAACATACAAATTTTTAAAAAATAATATTGATGATCATTTTTTTAAACAATTTAAAAAAAAATTATTTTACTCAACAGGATCAATCGCCTCATTTTATCAGTTCTTGATTCATAAAAATGAGACAAGAGGAATTGGTCTATCACAATTATATATAAATATTTGATTTCTTTTATTAACAATTTTTTATAACTCAAGTATTTATATATAAAAAATATAATATTTTAATTTAATATATAAATATATATTTTTTTAAATTAGAGTAAATTATCTTGTCTTTTCTGACAGACTATACTAGCTAAAGTTATAATTTAGTAGACTATCCCTATTTATTTTATTTATTTACAAATTTTAATATTACTGTCTGTTAACATTGTTAAAGTAAGTATTTTTTTTAGTAATTTAACTAACAACAAAAGTGATGTTTGTCTCTTTTTATAGGAACCGTCTTAACAAAATTTTAACCTTTTAATCAATTGTATAACAAACAACAACAAATATAACTTATAACAACTTTTACTTTTAATTTCCAAACTTTCGCCTCCCATTGCCCTCTCTTGTGGTGGTTCTTAATTCATATTAAAAGGTATAATGTTTGAATGAAAATGTTGCATAACCATAAAAAGTCAACATAATGATTATTTTCAGTTAAAGTAAAAATAATACCACTACCTTGCTCAATTTTAAAGGCAATGCCAAAAGTCAACATACATGAGAAAAAAAAAAGGTTTTCACAAATCAATTCATAATATCTTTTTGATAAAGGTTGGTATCTCAAAAGATGGGAAAATAACAGGTCATCTTCTACTACCATGTTCTAAAGAATGATGACCCACTTGGATTAGAAGACAAATTAAATTATGGAAAAAAGAAAAAAAAATGTGTTCACGTGAATATTAAAGGGCTCTATTAATTAATTTTTTAAATAATAAATAATTCATTCTAATGCATAAAACACACACACACAACTTCCAATAATGTAAAAGTAAATAAAAGAATAGAAAAAATGGAATTGTGAACAAAATCAGCAACTTGATATACTCTCTGAATATGTGACCACAGAGCACACGTGATTCGCTGTTTTATGCAGACATTAACTCGCGAACTACTTTTCACCCCTAAAATATTTAAACAATTTTTTTATTTAAAAATAATAGAAAAATTAACTTAAACTTATATTAAAACAATAAATATATTGTTTAGTTTGACATAATAATCCAATAGTGTTGTTTGAGTATCTGAACATGTGGAAATGTACTTCTTAACATTCAAAATAATTAATGAAAAATTATTTATAATGAAATCGGTACATCATCATAAGTCTTATGAAAAAAAAAAACTATTAATTATGCTATAAAAATTTATTCAACTTAAATGAATAATGTTGGTTAACTCATTATCGCCTTGTACAATGAAAAAATATTTATTAATATGTATCAAAGTTTTAGCTGTGAATCTCTGCAAAATGTTCCCAAGTTTATCCTTTTTTAAAATATTGATAAAAACCATCCATAATTCTTAAATAATTTCAATTACTATAGAGCATAAACTAATGAAGTCATTTATGAATAAAGTAAATGATAATTGAAATATTTTATTTAATCAGAGGAGAAGTATTCTCCATGAAAAAAAGGGAAATGCATCTATTTAAGAGAGGATATGATTATATCTATAATAAATATCATTGAAGAGAATAAAATATATTTATAAATAAATGATTAAAAATTATATGTATTTATAATTAAACTCTTGAATATAAATATTTTGGCGTGATTATTTAATTTATAGATTTATTTGTAAAAAAAATAAAATGCTTATATTATTTTATTATACAATTTAGGGATTTATCAATTAATTATATTTTAAATATTCCATGTAATTTTTGAGAAATTTTCATATTTCTATTATTTTTAATATTTTTGAGTATTTTTTTATATTTTAAGAATTTAATTTTCATAATGTTATTTATAAATTCATTTTTTATTTTTATATTTTTTTAACCATTGAAGAATTTATCAATTAATCACATTTTAGATATCTCATATATTCGTGTAATTATTTTTTACTTTAGTCATTTTGTTGACGTTTTTTATTTTGTTAACTTTTTTATCACGGGAAAAATATTAAAGATTTCACTATTTGATACTAATTTTTATATTTTTAGTGTTTTTGAGTATTTTTTTATATTTTAGATATTTAATTTTTACAAAATTTACTTGTAATTTTTTTATATATTTTGTTGTTGTTTTCTTATATCATTTAAGAATTTACTAATTAATCACATTTTAAATATTTCACACTTTCATGTAATTTTTTTTTTACTCTTATCACTTTGTTGACAATTTAATATTTTGTTGACTTTTTTATTGGGAGAAGAAAATATCCAAATTTTATTATTTGATACTAGTTTTTATTTATTTATTTTTTAGTAATTTTGAATAATTTTCTTATATTTTAAGAATTTAATTTTGATAGTTTTACTTCTCAACAAATTTTATAAATTTTGTGCGTTGATTTCTTTTATCATTTAGAGAAGTTTTTTTAATTAATCACATTTTAAATATCCCAGCAATATTGGATGCGATGTTTGGAACAAAAAGACCATCAAAGGTTCCCAAAATTTTCGCAAATGACTTACTTTCACATAATTTTTTTTTACTCTTATCACTTTGTTGACATTTTGATATTTTGTTGACTATTGGAGGAGTTTTTTTTTTTTTTTTTAAATTTTACAGTGTGATATTAGTTTTTTTAATATTTTTGAATATTTTTTTATATTTTAAGAATTTAGTTTTTATAGTTTTATTTGTAAAAAAATTTATAAATTTTTGTGTTGTTTTCTTATATCATACAAGAATTTATCAATTAATCTTATTTTAGATATCTCTCACTTTGATGCACTTTTTTTGTTACTTTTTTCATTTTGTTGACTTTTTGATTAGGGGAATTTTTTTTTGAAAGTCTACTACTTGATAATAGTTTTAATTTTTTAAAAATATTTTTGAGTCATTTTTTTTATATTTTTTAAAATTTAGTTTTCATAGTTTTATTAGTAATTTTTTTTATAAATTTTTGTGTTATTTTTTTATACCATTTAGAAATTTATCATTTAATCATAAATATTATGTAATTTTTTACTTTTGCCATTTTGTTGACTTTGATATTTTGTTGATTTTTAATTGGGGGAATTCTTTTACAAAATTCCTCTACTGATACTAGTTTTTAATTTTTGTATTATTTTTTAGTCATTTTATTATATTTTTAGAAATTTAATTTTCATAATTTTACTTGTCAATTTTTTTTATAAATTTTTGTGTTATTTTCTTATAATATTTAAGAATTTATTAATTAATAATATTTTAAATATCTCCTATTTTCATGTAATTTTTTCTATTCTTGTCATTTAGTTAAATTTTTTATATTTTGTTGACGTTTTTATATTTTGTTGCATTTTTTTATTGGGGGAAGGGTTTTTCAAATTTCCATTTATTGATACTAGTTTTTTTTTATATTATTTAATGTTTTTAAGTCATTTTTTATATTTTAAGAATTTAGAATTCATATTTTTATTTGTCAAAAAATTATATTTTTATGTTATTTTCTTATACCATTTTTAGGGATTTATCAATTAATTATATTTTAAATATCTCACACTTTCATGTAATTATTTTTTTCTTTTACTCTTGTCATTTTTTTTTATATTTTATTGACTTTTTTATTTGGGTGAAAACTTTTCAAAATTCCCCTTTTAATACTATTATCTAATATTGGAAAAAAAAACCTAATAGGTGTTTTTTCCATTATCAATATATAATCACCTTGTATCTAATAGCAATGGTTAATTATTTCATACAATAATAAAATTGTGTACTTTATTCTCTAGGTGAGTTGTTCATTTAATATAATCTGGATTCGTTTATAAATTTGATTCCTGTAAATGAATGTTAAATAAGCATGCTTAGCTATTACAAAATTTAGAAGGTTAAGTTAATATTCCGAAACATCCCTACTTTGAATATTGACGTGGTCATTACTTTTTTGGGTGAGAGAATGTGTTGGTATTGTTATTTGGTTTGATCGTGATAACAGGTTATGGCCGGGCTAGAAAAGTTTTTCTTGGTATGAATTTTGATGGAAAATGTTAAAAAATGCATGAAATAATTGAGATTAATATGTTATGATTTGATGATGGAATATTGATCATAGATTGCAAGAGGTTGGAGTAGCACAAGGCCATGCATCCGGTCAACTACTAACACAAATGGCAGCAGAAGAAGCCACATGTCAGTTCCTTTCAAGCGCTACAATGGCGACCGCAAAACTTGCATTTGCCAATCACTTTATATATACTCTTCTCAACGGTTCCCCCTTCTCATATCCATTTATATCTGTAGTGGTCTTCGTTTTTCTGCTCTTAATCTTCTCTCTTTGCCACCACCATTTCTTCCTTTCTCTGCACGCGACCACCTATCTCTTGTGTTTCTCACGGTTGCCTTCGCTAGAGTTTTTTTTTTTTTTTTTTTTTTTTTCTTGGATCAAGTGCGAACCACGTTTCCAATAGCTGTCTCTGGCTGTGTGCTCTTCTGGGGTAGTTTAAAAATGGCTTCTTTCTCGAGTGTGGGTGTTGTTTGAACAGTTTTGGAGAAGCTTCTGGTATAGGGGACAAATAAATAAAATAAATGAAAAAACAAATCTTTAAGCTCTTGTTTGGTTGTGGTTGTGGTTGTGATTGATTGGTGGATTTGTGAAATGGCACAAGCACATGTTGCATGTGTGAGGCAGATACAATGAGTGGTGGTGTTGGTGGTGGGTGCCCCTGCCCCAGGGGTAGTAGTGATGGTTCCATGGAGGATCCCAATGGCGATACGGTGGGTACTTTGAATCAGAATGCAGGGAAGCCTCCGAGGGACCATTCGGTTATGCGACATTTCAGCAGCTCTTCTTGGTCTGCTGAACCGGTTAGTATAATCAAATTGCAATTCCATTTTTTTTTTCTTGTGGGGTGGATATCATGACCTGTGCAGCATTTTGATGGCTTGACACAATTTGGTAGAAAGAAACCAAGGATTTAGGAAAGCTTGGAACATATTGTTGACTCTCACTATTGATTTGATATGTACCTTTATGCGTTATTGAGAACTTAATAGTTATAACTTCCATATCCGAAACATGATATCCTATTTCTCAAACATTTTCAAACACGCACTTGGATCTGACTGATTACAGCTAATTGTAAAAGGGTCGATAATGTTTCTGGTGATTTATAAAAGCTGCAATCCTTAGGATAATTTTTCTTGAAAGTTGAAATGGCATTTTACTATTAAACTTTGAACAACTTCCTGCATTTTGTTGGTTCATGTCCTTGTTTTGACCGGTTTGTTTCAAGTAGTGTTGATGTCTATGAAAGCATAGAAAGATAATTTCTTGGAAAGAAAATGGATTGTTTATTGGTTCAAGTTGCTGTTATCCATATATTTTGACGTAGTCCTAGCTAGTAATTATGCCCTATCTTCTTCTGTCTAGGAATCAAATATTAATATTATTGGACTTAAATCAAGCCCAGAACAAAAATCAGACCTTTCACTTGTAATGCGATCTGGAAGCTATTCTGATAAAGGACCAAAGCAGTACATGGAGGATGAATTCATATGCATTGATTTTCTTAGTGAATGTGACGGTCTAGGAGCAAACCTTCCTTCTCCTGCAGCATTTTATGGGGTATGTTTCTTGTGTTGAGTTAGATCCATCCTATTATTCACCTAATGAAGTGGGCAAATTCTCTTCATAAGTGGAGCAATATAAGATATGAATGAATTCCCAAGCACTGATTAACCACATTGGCCTTACAAATTTACAAAGATTATACATAGAAATTATTTATTTGACTACCATGTATTGATTAGTATTCCAATTTGGTTGCCGTTTGCATTTCCCTTAGATTAGGTACTCATGGAGATTGTTAATATACAGGTATTTGATGGACATGGTGGTGTTGACGCGGCATCATTTACGAGAAAGAACATTCTCAAGTTTATAGTTAAAGATGCCCATTTCCCATCTGGCATTAAGAAAGCAATTAAGAGTGCATTTGTGAAGGCTGATCTTGCTTTTAGAGATTCCAGTGCTCTTGATAGTTCTTCAGGCACCACCGCTCTAATAGCCCTTATGTTGGGAAGGTAAGGACTGAGAACCATATGATTAGAATAATGGTTTTTAGATATTGTTGGCACTTGCGTATGGATTGTAATGAATGATGCTAGTACAGGGAAACGGTGCTAATTGTACTAGTAATCTATTTTGCAGTTCCATGCTGATTGCTAATGCAGGAGATTCGCGTGCTGTATTGGGGAAACGGGGCAGAGCTGTTGAACTTTCCAAAGACCATAAACCAAACTGCACATCTGAAAGATTAAGAATTGAAAAACTGGGTGGTGTCATCTATGATGGATACCTCAATGGCCAACTATCAGTGGCTCGTGCTCTTGGAGATTGGCACATAAAAGGTAGTAAAGGTTCCAAGAGTCCTTTAAGCTCCGAGCCGGAGGTAGAGGATATTGTTCTGACCGAAGAAGATGAGTTTTTGATAATGGGTTGTGATGGATTATGGGATGTGATGAGCAGCCAGTGTGCTGTGACAATGGTGAGGAAGGAGCTCATGCAGCATAATGATCCCACCAAATGTGCAAAAGTACTTGTTGCTGAAGCCCTCCAACGCAACACATGTGACAACCTCACAGTTGTGGTTGTGTGTTTCTCCAAAGATCCACCTCCTAAAATTGAAATTCCTAGATCATATAGGAGGAGGAGTATTTCTGCTGAAGGCCTTGATCTTCTCAAGGGTGTCTTGAATGGTAGATGAATAAAAAACTCTTGCTGATTTGTACAGATTATTGAGTAGGGTGTTCTTCAGTGGGGATTTTTCTGACTAACTGCTACCCTGCTGCCCTTGAATATTGTTGTTTGCTTAAATGTCAATAATAATGTTACACAACTTGTAACAACTCGAATTGGGGAGAACCTACCAATCAGAGTCTGAGCCTTCTTTACTTGTACTATATGGTTATTACAAGGACTATCAGCCGGCAAGGTTCACACGTACTTCTGGTCTCGTTATCTGCGACAACCTTCTTGAAGTCCAATTTTTGAGAAACCTTAAGGGTCAGTCTTCCCATTTTCAATGGCGGGAAGTGATACAAATACACAACACAACAGCAAATTTCCTTTGCCCACTAAAAAGAGCTATGAAGTAAATGATTTGTATTTTCGCCCCTTAGTTTATCTTTTACAACATTTTCAAGTCATTGTATATTTGTTAGGAACATTCATTTTGTTTTCTCATTGTTGTTGTTGTTGACCTGTCTTTGCCTTTCCACGTTTGGCAAATTAAAGGAAAAACAGATAATCAGTTATAATGTTGAAAATGATTCTGTTAAAATGACATAATTAAGAAGTGATCGCGGTATAGAAGGGCGTTCATGTTCAGCATCGTTGCTTCAATCTTGTCAGTCCTGGAATCCTTGCTGTGCAATCACATTTTCATAGAGCTAATGGTCTCAGGCCATAGAATTTCTCATGCTATTCCTATTTCCCTTTTCTTTCCTAGCTACAGTAATATCAACACAAACTTTCTTTCATTTAGAAAAGGTTAACTCCACCATGTACACTAACCTTTTTGGAATGAAAGGAAACACTTTCTTAAAAATTTCTGATCAGACAAGTAAGAATGAAGATTTTACGTAACCTTCTATGGTGAAAGAGGGTGCAGGTTTGATGTAGTTGAAATGAATGAATAAAAAGTCTTCTTATTTTTCTTTATATTCCTTCGTTAGCCAGCCAATGATTCAGTTGTTCTTTTCTGTCGTCCCCTAAAAACATAGGGGTGATTATTAAGAATTACGAATGTTAGACCTATCAATCTTCGGGCTCGGAGGGTGTTTTAATGCTGAAGAGTTTAATTTATATACTGAATAGTGTAAATCATGGCTCAATTTTTTTTAATGGGAAAACATTTGTATTGAGTGAGGCGATTTGTTTTTCGTAGGACACGGGTATTTTATATGATAATCTTATTTCAGAGAAAAAGATCATTGTTTATAGCAAGATTTTTACTCTGAATATTTAATATAACTACAATCTTTGTGCTTAAACTCGATTAATGATGCATAAACTTTGGAAAGCGTTGGCATATCGGAGATCCTCCTCTTCAACCCATTTTCTAAGGCGTTTCCAATTCCAAAGGCATTTATCTTCATCTTCGTATTCTTCTTCATATTCTTCTTCTGCACCAAGCGAGGAGCATGTTTCGCAGCTTATTCTGGACCAGAAATCTGCTACCCAAGCATTGGAATGCTTCAGATGGGCGTCCACCATTCCCAACTTCGTCCATTCTCAATCTACATACCGCGCCTTGTTCCACAAGCTCTGCTCCTTCCGCCGTTTCGACACTGTCAAGCAACTGCTCGACGAAATGCCCCAATCACTCGGTGAACCACCCGGTGATGACATCTTCGTCACCATCATCCGCGGCCTTGGCCGAGCCCAGATGATTAGAACTGTAATCAAAGTACTTGACTTGGCGTACAAGTTCCACGGCAGCCCCTCCCTCAAGATTTTCAACTCAATTCTGGATGTCCTTGTGAAGGAGGACATTGACATGGCCAGGGAGTTTTATAGGAAGAGCATGATGGCGAGTGGGGTTGAGGGGGATGATTACACTTATGGGATTTTGATGAAAGGCTTGTGCCTCACTAATAGGATAGGTGAAGGGTTTAAGCTCTTGCAGCTTATTAAATCCAGAGGGGTTACCCCAAACACTGTGGTGTACAACACTTTGCTTCATGCACTGTGTAGGAATGGGAAGGTTGGGAGGGCTAGGAGCTTGATGAGTGAGATGGAGGAGCCTAATGATGTTACCTTTAATATTTTGATATCTGGGTATTGTAAGGAAGGGAATTCAGTTCAGCCGCGTGTCCTGCTGGAGAAGAGTTTTAGCTTGGGATTTGTGCCCGATGTTATTACTGTTACCAAGGTGCTGGAAATTTTGTGCAATGCTGGTCGTGCAACCGAGGCAGCTGAGGTTTTAGAGAGAGTTGAGAGCATGGGAGGTTTGCTAGATGTTGTGGCTTACAACACCTTGATAAAGGGTTTTTGTGGAGTGGGGAAGGTTAAGGTTGGGCTTCATTTTTTGAAGCATATGGAGAGCAAAGGCTGTCTTCCAAATGTGGATACCTATAATGTACTGATATCTGGCTTTTGTGAATCTGGGATGTTGGATTTGGCTATTGATCTTTTTAATGATATGAAAACAGATGGGATCCAATGGAACTTTGTTACATTTGACACATTAATTAGGGGTTTGTGTTCAGAAGGAAGAATTGAAGATGGATTTTCTATTTTGGAGCTAATGGAGGAAAGCAAAGAAGGCTCTAGAGGACACATCAGTCCTTATAATAGCATAATATATGGCATGTTTAAGCAAAATCGATTTGATGAGGCAGCTGAGTTTCTGACAAAGATGGGGAATTTGTTCCCTAGAGCTGTTGACAGAAGCCTGATGATTCTAGAGCACTTCAAGAAGGGGTCTATTGAGGATGCAAAGAGTGTATACGATCAGATGATTGAAGAAGGTGGAGTTCCAAGTATTTTAGTTTACAACTGCCTTGTTCACGGATTTTCCCAACAAGGTAGTGTGCGAGAGGCAGTTGAGCTGATGAACGAAATGATTGCTAATGACTGTTTTCCAATTCCATCTACATTCAATGCTGTCATCACAGGGTTTTGCAGAGAGGGGAAAGTTGAGAATGCCTTGAAGTTGGTGGAAGACATTACTGCAAGAGGTTGCGCACCCAATACCGAAACATACAGTCCTCTGATTGATGTCTTATGTAGGAAAGGGGACATTCAAAAAGCCATGCAGGTCTTTAGAGAAATGGTAGACAAGGGCATCCTTCCTGACCTTTTTATTTGGAATTCACTGCTACACAGTCTGAGTCTAGAAAGGCATATCAGTAAGAATATACTGAACATACATGACATACTCTAGTCCTCAGGTGGATATTGCAAACTCTCCCACTATCAATTTCTCAGCTTCACACTCTTAATACTCCCCCCTTCTTATTAATAAGCATCCAGGAATTGTTTATTTGATGGAAATTGATGTAGACTTCCATCAATGGTTTTTAAATCTAACACCAAGTAATTTGGTCGTTTACTCCGAGTTAATTTCCACAAACCTTATCTCAATGGTTATGGGTGTCCATACCTTCTTGTATTATCTTCTACAGAACTCACCGGCTCTAATTGTAAGGTGTAGACTAAATTTCTCTTGGTTCTCAGTATACATAAGTTAGCTTAGTTCAATGCATGTCTTCTGTATCTGTATGTGTTGCTAGCAAAAAAAACCTCACGTTTTCTGCTAGTTAAACGACAAGAAATAATAACAAACTGCAACACCTCAAAATTATGAATGGTACACGACACCTGCCTAATTAGTTTGCTATGAGTAGGGAATTTGATAGCTCGTCACTGTCACAATCTAGGGATATTTGAAATTTTGCTTTGATCTTCATCTATAAGATATACATCAAGCGAATTATCCTCATCCCTATCACACTGGATGTTAATTTTTTGTACAAAATTTTAGGCCACTGTTGAAAGATAAACAAAGGGCAATACAGCTGTGGTGTCCTTTTTCTAACGGGGACCAGTTTAGAGTAGGACATTCATATTATACAGCTAGCAAGTGCCTCCTATACACGGATATTTCTAAATTAAAAAAATATATTAAAAAAAAGAATATCAATTTTTTTCATTATTAATAATTAAATTTGTTACATTTTACAAATGTGGCATCATGAAATTTGTTATATACACACAATTATTTAAAATCCAAAAATAACTTTACAAATTATGTGTTTAACATTGTTTTCACATTTATTATAGTTGAAAGTTAATGCTTAAATATTTCTTTTGTAGTGGTAATTCATTTTCTATTACTTGAGAACTGGAAATGTCAATTGAAAAAAAGGATGAATACAAATATGATAAAGTTTAGTAAAAAAATACAAAGATAATTAACTTCAGCAAGAGAGGAATGTATAATTAATTATATTTTTTTATAATTAAAATGTTTTTGTTTCTTTTGTTTGAATGTACAAATTGTTTCATCATACAAAGTTTATTACAATATGTCATATCTTAATGTTTAAGTTGTGATTAATATATATTTAAAATTTGATTATGATTAAATTTTTTAATAAAAAAAATTGCTTGTATTTATGCTGACGTTAATATCCTCAAAATTGTTGTATATACAAATTATGAAAAATTATTTATGTTTTATATTTGTGAATTTAATATCTAGTTCCCAAATTTTGTTTGGAAATTATTTTACATTAGATTTTTAAAATTGGTACGTGAAAAGATGTGTACATTATCTGTATTGAATTATTTAAATTTATTTTTAAATATTTTTAATGTTATTTCTAATTTTATAAAATAATTTTATTTAAATTTTTTTAATTTAAATTTATTCTTATTAAATTTTAAGCTAAAATATATTGTTTATTTATTCTTATATTATATAAAAGAGTATAAAGTATCTCAAATGTAAAAATATCTTCAAAAATTTAATAGTTATTGTATGTGTCCAATGGAAAAGAAAGAATTTTCAAAAGATTTTAGAAAAATAATGTAAAATTTTAATAAATTTAAAGGGTTTTTTGAATAAATCTAATTTGTATCCCTGGAGCACCTAGCTAAAACCCACTAAAATTTCACTTTTCCACTTTCCTTTTGTCAATAGCAAACTGATATCATTTAACAGCAAAACTAAAAAAAAAATGTCAAAGTGGTTTTTTG